GCCTGGAGTAGGACGAGTTGCAGATCGGCTGACGTTTCAGTGGACGGTCATCTGCGCGTCTGTGGATTTTGCACGTCGTCACGCGACGTGGGTTGACACAGTTTTGGCTCTGTTCGTGGAAAACCGTTCCTCGTGGACACAGTCTTTCGTACGGTCGTCCGTTGTCACAGAGTATGTACTTGTCGCTGCATTCGCCCAGCGGTATCATCCTGTCCCTGCCGTGACACAGATGTGACTCTCTCGGTTCGTCACGATGGCACTCGGGAACAAACTCCCGACCAATGCAGCCCATGTATTCGTCGCTGTACACCTGCAAGTGGCTGTGAATGCCGCCGGTCATTGGCAGATCGAGAACTTACCGTATTAGGAGGGCATTCTCGCCTTATTATTTGCCCTCTGTAGCATCCGTTGTAGGTATGGTGGCATGGTTTAATCGAGGAACTATCGCGACACTCTACAAGCTCTTCCGGTTTGGTCGTCTTGATTTTTGGAACAACCGGCAAATTTATCTTCCTATTGCATCCTTTCACAGCGTTAGGATCATCGCAAATTTTTCGTTCCGGATTGAACACTAAGCTGCCATGACAAGACCGGTGATAAGTATGCCCATTCCAACAGGAAACGTAACTTTTGCTGCAATCTCCGCTGGGAAAATTGCCATCTGACTTTGATTTACAAAAGTCTGAAAACATACATACAAAAGTAATGATGTGATAAACGAAAGCAAAAATCTGAATCCAACTGCTCAATGAGAGACGAAATCATGAATATATGTTATAACACTTGCCTTTAGAAACTGAAACGATATTTTCCTGCCTCGTAAATATGAATGAGGATCGCTGCTTCGAGGTTTCGTAAAATACACGGTGCTAACTGGTTTTTATGTTCTTCGTCCGTGTTACTATTCATTTGAAAATATTTCAAATGACTAACAACATATCTTATACTACCTTTACTGCTTATACTACGTAATCATAATCACAATATTCATAAGTTTTATTACCATTTCCGATATTATCGTTATGATAATTACAATTGCCGTTATCAACGTCATGGTGATCTCATCATTATCATCCTCATCATAATCATCATCCTTGTTATCGCCATAACTGTCGTGGTTATAATTGTGGTAATGGTCGTCAGAATCTCTGTCCTTCGTGTCCCGTTTCCTTGTTCACAATTGCTTTGGGAGCCGTTTAAGCACGGCATGCATGGAATCCGAATCCTTAGGCCATGTCTGACACAAGTTATTTGGTGCGGAGTACGGGATGGTCTCCCTTGCAGTTCGAGCAACATGAATTATGAAAATCTCATGTACGACTTCTTTTAACTTCCGATGACGGATGCAGACCTAACCTGGCCGCTGTCGTTGTCAATGAACCCATTGCTTAGACACTGAAATGGTAATGTGAGGTACGCTTCGTTTTCTTTCCATGCAGGTTTGAAGGCTTCGTTTAGTAGTGTCAAGAATAGAACCTCCGGTGAGAAAGAACTTGTCCCTGCAATGCTGAAAAACTACATGGATTACCTCGCTTCAGTTTGAACAATGAGAAATTCCGTCTACCTCTAGAAGTGTGCAGAAAAAGAACTCGTGAGGTCATAGACAAGATATATGAGTGATGATGCAGAGATTGTCTCGTTCATTCAGGGGAGTCCGAATCCGAAACAAAAATAGCCGATACAGCGTACAAGAGGAGGGAGAGTTCCGGGAGGTGGCAGTTGGCTAGAGAAATCCAAATCATACCTGAGCGGCCTTCATTGCGGTGTCCGGATTTCTTGATTTCCTGCTTGGCCGCCTTCGACACATCTGCCGCTTGCCGCTTGTCGTTTGGCGCCTCTTGCCTCACCTTCGGTACTTCTTGCTGGATTTTCAGGTTACAAGCTAACACGTTTCCGATGGCAGCGCACTTTTTCGATCGACCGTCAAACGCCTGTCCTTCGGCGCAGGCCATCTTCACCGGTTCGCCGCCGGAGCATCTCCAGTATTGCGGCGAACAATCTTGTACAGCGAACAGGCCATCGCGCTGGGGGCACTCGAAGTGAGGTTTTCGCCGGTCCGGGTTGGCTCCGCCGCAGCCAGGAACGGATTCCCTCCAGTCGCAGCGTTTCAACCGCGGGTTATACACCAGACCTTTAGGACAATGCCGCTTGAGCGTCGTCGAGGCGAAACAGGAGTAGTAGTGCGATGCACACGCACTTTTCGGATCCTCATAATCCCCGTTACTGCGGTCCGTACAATCGAACTCTAGTAATTTAGAAAGATGAGGTAAGCGCACAGCAAGACACAGCACACAATTTGTCCGTGACGATGCCAAAATCGTCATGAAATACATGCGCATGTGTACGGTATGCGGCTCGGCATGTGCTTCAGATAAAGCTATATTTATGACATGATTTTTATCATTACTGCAAAATTTTCGGTCTTATGATTTTAATCAGACACGGGTGAGAGACGCAACATGCCATCTTGGTAAAAACTCATACTTCCCATATGCAAGTATACGAGGAGAATGCTGACTGGCTGCGAAAAATGTCTACAGAGGAACATACCATGTAACGGTATGGTCTAAATTGAAATCCAAACTTATATGTTCCGGTCTTCACTGAATCGGTCACTTAGTTTCCGGTGCCCGGGATAGGGACGTCAGAAGAAACCACTGCGGTTCTCGATCTTGACCACTGCTTGAGCGTTGATAGAATACAGCCGAAGCATAACGCAGAATATCAGTGACGCACATGATTTGAGTAATTCTGAGCTTTTCTCAAAATCTTTTGTCTGTTGATCGAGGATCAGGTACATCGTTGATCACCCACCTTAGTACCTTTCACAGGATACTCCAAAACCATCGTCTTCACTAAATCCACAGCATCAAATTTTTAATCCGGAGTACTGACCTCATTATTAAACGAACTTCTGAAACTGGTAGCTTTAAGCAGAAAACATACATTACTTTCGATGGCTTCTTTCTGTTCAAAGCACGCTCCAAGATCGTCATGGTGAGTGCAAAAAAAAGCTGATCCGCATAAATATCATGACTTTTCCCGAAAGTATGGTTTGCTAGAACGAGACGTCACGAATGCCTTGCATCTCAAAACACCGTAGCGGCTGAATAGTCAAAGTACGCAGGATCAGACAGAAAATCGTTCGCAGGCAGCCAGTTATCACATGACTGAAATCACTGCAATCACAGTCTTAGAAGTGGACAGCTATCCGTTTGAAACTGGCTGCCAGGACAAATGCAAATGTTAACGATAAATGATAAGCTTACACTTTTACCTCAGCAGATTCCTTGTTTGACATAAGCGTCTATTCAGCGAATTTCTCGCAAATCTCAATGCCAAAACCGAAACAATCCGATACCACTATAAACTCGTAGATTCTCTGTTACACCGGATGCACTGAGTGCCAACATAGACCAGTTGAGTGCATCGCAAGTGCGGTCCATTCGGTTATCCCTTACTGTTACCGACCACTGTTAACTCAGTATGCTATCAACTGGTCGTACTTTTCGGGATGGCGTTAAGCGCCTGAGTTCCAGCATACATACACACACATATATATACACCTCAGTTCGTGAACTCAAATTAATGGTATGCTGATGCCTGGCCTTCCACACATTTATTTTTCATGACTAAGGAAATATGGCACAAATCTTAGTGTGTAATGCGGTCAATTCCAGGTAAGTGCGTGTGCCGGTGGTCGACGGCTTACCTTCGGCTTCCGACGCGCAGACTGCTTGGACGACGACGTACACTAAAAAACACAGCGAGGCCTTTCGCCAGTGGATGCTTGCCCGGTGCATCCTGGAACAGGCCTAAGCGAAAAGCTTTGACGAGCAACGGTGGCGTTCGTTCAGTCGGCAGGCGGGTGCGCGTTGTTCACGAATCGGCCTGATCGCGATCTCTCCAACGTAGGCGACTGACGAACGCAACTCAGTCGGCAGGTGAAAGGAGTTCGCTATAGATTCGCCTCAGAGACCCGCTGAATCAGGTTATCCCGACCCTCACACGTGCACCGATAACGCCATCGATTTGGACGACGCCATCCGGTCGTGGCGAGGTGTGATCACTGTTCGCTGGCCCATCGAGACTTTCACTCTGTTTCACAATTGTTCAGTGATAAGAAACTATCGGAGGCGAACCAGAGGGTGTAGGCGCAAAGCGACAATGCTCTCTGCCACGCACGGTGATTAACCTAAGTTTCCTCGCGTATTGTGAGGCCACGTGCTGATTTGCATAGTAATCCGGCTGTCTGCCG